GGGCTTGTCTAACCTGGCCTGAACAGGAAAGTTCCACCAGGTTCAACCATGGAGCTTCCATGCTGTGAGGTGAAGCGACCCAAGGTTCAGATGTTGAAGACTACCATGATCTTGTGACAGAAGGTCCGGGCAGAGCGGCAGGGGCCCGGGGAGTGTCTAGGAGAAATGTGTACCAGTGCTGATGGGGCCAGGCTGTTGCTATCAATATGACCTGAGCTCGTTCCCTCCGGATCTTGAGGAGTACCCTGTGAACTAGCGGTCTGGGCGAAAAGGCATATAGGAGGCAATCTCCCCAATGGAGGAGGAACACATCTGCACTGGAGCCTGGGGTACGATTTTGGAAGGAACAGAACTGCTGGCACTTCCTGTTATATCAAATGGCTAATATGTCTATCTGGGGAAAGCCCACCTCTGGAAGATTGAAATCACAACGTCTGGGTGAAGGGACCACTTGTGGCCATGAAATGACATGCTGAGGTGGTCCGCCAGCTCGTTCTGTACTCCAGGGAGGTATGATGCCTGGAGGTGTATTGAATGTTCTACACAGAAATCCCACAACATGAGGGCTTCCTGGCACAGGGGAGAGGAGCATGCACCCCCGTTTGTTAATACAGAACATTGCCGTGGTGTTATCCGTCATGACTGATCACACTGTCCCGTTAAGTATGCCCAGAAGGTCTAGCATGCCAGGCACACTGCTCTCAGCAATCTGACGTTGATGTGGAGAGCCAGATCCTCCTGAGACCAGAGACCTTTAGTCCTGCAGTCTCCTACCCGTGCTCCCCAGCCCAAGTCTGATGCATCCGTCACTAGCAACTGAGACAGCTGCAGACTGGCAAAGGGGATCCTTGAGCATACCTCCTGAGGGTTGAGCCACCACAGGAGGGAATAGAGGATGGGGCAAGGCAGGGCCACTATCCTGTCCAAGCTGTTCCTGGATGGGCGGTACACTGACACAAGCCACAACTGAAGAGGTCAAAGCCTGAGTCTGGTATGCTGCATCAGGTAGGTACAGGCAGCCATGTGTCCGAGAAGATTCAGGCAGTTTGTTGCTGTGGTGGTGGGAAACTGAGGCCTCAAATGATATTGGTCAGGACCTGAAATCTTGTTTGCGGCAGGTATGCCCTGGCCTGTGTTGAGTCCAATATTGTCCCTATAAATTCTATCCTCTGGACAGGGGACAGAGTCGATTTCACTTTGTTTAAAAGGAGACCCAGGCTGTCAAAGGTGGCTCTAATGAATCTGACCTGAGCTTCCCCTTGGGTCTCGGTGCAGCTCTTGATCAGCCAGTCGTCAAAGTAAGGAAACACCTGTACCCGGTGCCTGCACAGAAACACAGCAACGACTGCCATGTACTTGGTGAAAACACAAGGTGCTGATGACAGGCCAAATGGGAGGACTGTAAATTGGTAATTGGTGTTGTTCACCATGAACCTGAGGTACTTCCTGAGGGGCTGGGTGATCACGATATAAAAGTATGCATCTTTCAAGTCGAGGGCAGCATACCAGTCTGCTGGATCCAGTGAGGGAATAATGTGGAACTTGAGTTTCTTCACAAACTTGTTGAGTTCTCTGAGGTCCAGGATGGGCGTGAGGCCGCCTTGGCTTTCTGTATTAGGAAATACCAGGAGTAAAAGCCCTCGCCCCTGTGCTCCTGAGGAACCTCCCCCACCACCCCTAAAAATAGGAGCAACTACACCTCCTGGATAAGGAGCTGCTTGTGAGAAGGGTCCCTGAAGAGGGATGGGGAAAGGGGCGGAAAGGGCGGGAGGGCACAGAATTGGCTAGAGTATCCCCACTCTACAGTGTGGAGCACCCATTGGTCCGAGGTGATATGGGACCATGCACAGTAGAAAGGGGATAGTCAGGATGAGAAGATAAGGCGGGGTGGATCCATTGTTAGGTATGGTACACCATCCTTGACTGTGCCAGTCAAAAGGCCGGCTTGGACCCTGAAGATGGCTTGGGTTGTCCCGAGCTCTGGCCAGAAGGTTGGCGCGGCCTTCTCCTGCCGTTCTGATTTCTCCTGCTGGACCTGTCTTGGTGATTCTGCTGACCAAACTGCTGGGGCTACAGGCGGAAATGTCTCCGCTGGGTCAAAGGAGTATAGAGGCCCAGGGACCTGAGGGTGGCTCTAGAATGTTTAAGGCTGTTCAGCCTTTTGTCCATCTTCTCTGAGTCTCTCACCCTCAAAGGGCAGGTCTTGACTAGTTTGCTGTACCTCGTAGGGGAGGCCAGAAACCTGGAGCCATGAGCCCCTTCTCATGACCACACCAGTAGCCATAACCCTGGTTGCCACATCAGCCCCGTCCAGTGCCGCCTGAAGGGAGGCCCTGGAGATCAGTCTCCTTTCCTCAACCAAAGTTGAAAATTCAGAGCAGGTGTCTGAGGGGAGCAACTCCATAAATTTTGCCATCGCCAAGCAGGCATTGTAGGAGTATCTGCTGACGATGACCTGTTGGTTGGATATACGGAGTTGCAGTCCCCCTGTGGAGTAAACTTTTTGCCCAAAAAGGTCTAATTTTTTGGGAGCCCTATTCTTGGGCGAAGGGCCTTGAAATCCTTGTCTTTCCTGCTGGTTAGCAGCATCCACCACCAGGGAATCAGGCTGGGGGGTTGGAATAGAGGTGCTTATTGTGCTTGGCCGTAGGTGGCAGAGAGGTCGGAGTCTGCCAAAGGGTCTTGGTCATGTCCGTTTTTTATTAGTGGTAAGGTGATACGGACGGGGCCATAGGGAGCCAGGATGTCCACCATAGGGTCTGCATCATCCACAACTTCCTCCGCCTTAATGCCCAGACCCTGGAGACCCGGCGCAGCAACTGCTGCAACACTCTGGAGTCTTCCAGAGCTGGGGCTACTGAAGTGCCCGCTAGTGCCTCATCTGGTGAGGAGGAGAAGGAGGAGGAGACCACCAGGGTAGGTGGTTGTTCCCTACCATCCCCACCTGAGAGATCTCTTGACCCCATGGAAAAAGCGGTAGGTTGGTCTGGTCCTGCAGGTGTGACAGGCACAGGTGTATCAGTGCCGACCTCGGGCCCCCCGTGAGTGCTGGCACCTGGTGCAGCATGAACGCCGGGGTTCCTGTGGGTGCCGTGGCAGCTGGTGTTAATGACGGAGGTGGTGCCAGTGCCATCATCGGTGCCAAGAGTGTCTTGCACCGAAGCTGCAATTGGGGCCACTGATACCTCCGGTGCCAAAGCGGTCGGTGCCTAGAATGGCACCGCAAGTGCCAGTGTTAATGCCTGATGCACTGGCTCCGGTGCCAATCATGGTGGAACAAATGTTGCGGAGGCCACTGATACTGCACCCGAGCAGGACCCCTGGCTCTGACCCTGGGCTTGATGGGAAGCCCACGGAGATCAAAAGGGTCACTGCTATGGATTTTGCCACTGAGGGGCCCACTGCATTGGGTGGGACCGCCTATGGTGCCGTGAGGAGGATCTTCTGCTCCTGCTATAATTGGAGTGGTATGAGTCCAACTCCGAGTAGGATGGCCAGGGAGGCGCTGCTCCTCTTGAGTTAGAGCGTAGAGAAGCAGGGGATTGACTGCACTCTCTGGAAGGCGGAGCTGGAGCAGATGGGTGCTGAATGTGATGGGGTTCAGCGTGCCATTATCGCTGGCTTGTCCTTAGAATGCATGGGGGGAGGGGGTCCAGATGGAACCTGCAGTGCTGAGACACTGTCCTGTCTTGGTGGTGAGAACAGCACCGTGAGCTTCAGTAGGTTCTGTGCTGCCTCAGAAGCCTCTGGGGTGGAAGGGAGTGGTAGATGCTCTGATGGGTGCAGTGAGTGAGACAGGCCTGGACTCGACTGCCTTGCTTGGGCAGGAGTCAACGTGGCCCCACTCTGAGTTCCCGAGCCATGACCCGACTGAGGTGCCACTGGTGGCTGGTCTCTGGGTTTTACCGAGTAAGATCGACCACTCTCCACTCTTTTTCTTCTGCGCCAGCAGTTGGGACTGGTGCCGAAGGCTGGAATGACCCTGAGAGGTTCCATGACGGTGCCTAGGTTCCTTGCCGGCATTTTTCTTTAGCGCCGGATCCTGGGTACTACATGCTGGGATCCCCGGTGCCTGGATCCGAGTGAGGTCGGACAGCTGCTGCCATAAGGAGGATTTTTGAGATGCTGCTCCCTCTCTTTAATGGTTCTCGGTCGGAACTCCTGACAGATCTTGCATCTGGTGACTCTCACCAACGCACCTTAAGCAGGATGTGTGGGGGGAGAGTCACTTTTTGGCATGTGCTTTGTGCAGATCTGGCAAGTCTTAAAGCCCAGGGATTGCAGCATTCCCCAGTAACAAATGGGGAAGGAAACAGAGGTGGGACCCCCCATAACTAAAACTTATAAAGAAACTACTAAACTAAACTATACAAGTTAGTGGAAGCTAACTATGTACAGCGTATAAAGTACTGCTACTCCACTTGCCGAAGCAAGAGAAGAGCAAGGGGAAGTTCCAGCTATCGTCACTGGCGGTAAGAAGGAACTGAGGGGGTGCAGGGCTCTATATTGGATGCCACGAAGACATGACTCCAGGGGGAGCCCAGGCCAACCCTATGATTGCTGCTAGGGGAAAAATCTTCTGGCTACTGTGCACGTGCGCACACACACACACACCTGACTGGAATTGACATAAACAAGCACTCGAAGAACAACATCATCCTAGCATTTAAATGAATTGTAAACACAGGATATCTCTGTGTTCATCTCTCTTTGAAATGTATACCAAATAATCTGTGAATGGAGGAAGAACAGGCAATTGTCTTATGTTAATTCGTATTGCTAAGTACTGGTGATTGACCCACTTCAAAGACACCCTGATTACTATTGTTCCCTGAGGGACTCCGACTTGTTAAAGAAGTCCTGAAATTGTATAAAAGATCCTTGGGTCCCAATCCTTCTTATCTCAGATCTGCTTAAGCTTCATCGGGGAAGCCTGAGTCACAATACTGAGGTCCCAGTTATGCTGGTACTCCCTGAAGGTGATATCAGACATTGGACTATAACCTATGAACTAAATTCTAAAGGAACTCTTTGAAACTACAAAGGTCACCATTTTTGCTATGAATATGAACCTCAAAAATTGAACTCATGTCTGTATGTATATTGATTTAACGATACTCACTCTCTCTCTTTTTTAAAATAAATTTTAGTTTAGTTAATAAGAATTGGCTGTATGTGCAAATTTGGGAAAGATCTGAAATATTCAATAACCTGGGAGGTAACGTATCCAATCCTTTGCGATTGGTAGAACCTTTTCTTTTATTTGATGAAATAAAATTTTCAGAAATCTTGTTGTACTTAAAGTACTGCACAGGATCTTTTTGGGGGGATAAGGCAAAGTGCCACATTTACTGGTAATACATGTATCAATCAATACTGTATCATATGCATATGATATATATTACACTCAGGCAATCACACACACAAACACACTCTGTCTTCTTGTGGTTACCAACTAGTTGCTCCCCTTAACTTCACTGGTCAGATGAGTTGGATGGGGGAGGGGTGTAACTGGGCTTCTGTCGATCCGGATCGATGCTCTGATGTTGACAAGATGAGACCCGGGGTCCTCTGCAAGACACCTCACATTTATAGCAGCTTCCCTCTCATGCAAATCTATACCAGATACAAAATCTGTGTCTGTGTCAGTAGGTCATCTCGTGGCGCTTCCTTCAGGGTGTTGTCTTAATGCTGCCACATTTATTTTCAAAAAGGGTGTTTTCAAAAGAAGATGCTCGCTTCTAACTCCCAAGGCCGTCTATATGTCTGATCTTCTTTAATGAGCCCACTTGACAGGTTCTATTGTTCTTGCATCCGGCTTCCATCCCCTCTCCAACTGTTGCAGCTGTCTGGAGGTGCTTGCCTTCCACGCCTTACTCATCCATACCTCATTCATTCAACAGGGGAATTGATTAAAAGGGGAGAGATCATGTTCTACTCCTAGTGACAAGACATTTTTCTTCTACCTTAACTATCCTTAGGACTATAACATTATACCAAGGCTCAATACAAAGTTTCTATATAAGGATTTGATACAAAGTTCCTATATCAAAGGACTTGATACGAGGTTATATATGGAAAGACTTAATACAAGGTTATATGAAGAGGCATAATACAAAGTCATATGAAAATGATACACAGTTATGCAAAGATGCTTAATGCAGAGATTTACCTACAATCTTCACCATATTGGACTTGAGTACCTGGATGGAGGCCTAAGGCTGGGTTACTTTGAGGGAACTGTATTGTTGGTTTCTGGGCAACCAGGGAGGTAATAAAGAAGCTGTTTTATACTGGTTTGGTAAATCTAAGTATTGAAAATATCCACCAGCTTTGGGAATTATCTGCCCCATTCTTTGCAATTCACCCTAATCAAGTAACCTCAGCTGGCCCCCACTGGGACCCCGGTCACAAACCCATTTTCCTAGACCCTGTATTCCTTTTGACAAATAGATATACTTTGAAGAAACAGTTTTCATGTCACTTGAATCACCTGCTGTCACAGGGCCCAGAGAGGAAAAGGGCTTGCAGATGACAAACAAACTTAATCAAAACAAACCAACATCCATATATGCAGCAAAGGTGCTCTTCAGAATTGAAGGAAATATGAGGCTCAGCTGAAGGTGCTTTCCAGCCCTGACTCGAAAGGGGACATGGAACACAACACACTTCTGGATGCAGTCACAGAGAACATTCAACTGCAACAGCAACCAGTCCTAGTGAAAGACTAAACTAGTGCTATTCTAGATGAGCAAAGCTAAATTTCAAACTAGATGTTAATCTAACTAGACTACTTACATGAATTTCAAAATAAGTTATTATATTCTCACTTCTGACTCAAAGTGGTGGTTGCAGTGACATTTTAATGTATACTAAATTGATAAAACACATGACCAACAAAGACAGACACACACTGGAAAAGAATTAAAATTAAAAACCTTGGCACAATTGTCCAAAATGGAACAAGCAACCTGAAGAGAAATGCCTTAGGACGACAAACCAACAACAATAGTTAGTTTACTTGAGGTAATGACACCCCAGCCTAAACATTAGGACAGCCATATTTTCTGGTTGGCCATCTACATTTTAAGTCTTAGCTTTGCAAGAACAAGTTAAAAATTAGTTAGACAAGTTAGATATGTTCCATTCACAAGGGCCTGATGAAATACATCCTAGAATACTCAAGGAGCTGACTGAGGAGGTATCTGAGCCACAAGTGATTATCTTTGAAAAGTCATGGAAGAGATTCCAGAGGACTGGAAAGGGGCAAATATAGTGCCCACCTAAAAAAGAAAAATAAGGACAGCTCAGGGAATTACACCAGTCAGCTTAACTTCAGTACTGGGAAATAAAATGGAGCAAATAATTAAGCAATCAATTTACAAACACCTAGAAAATAATAAGGTAAGTAACAGCATGGATTTGTCAAGAACAAATTGTGTCAAACCAACATAATAGCTTTCTTTGACAAGGTAACAAGCCTTGTGGATGGGGGCAGAAGTGGTAGATGTGCTATATCTTGACTTTAGTAAGACTTTTGATACGGTCTTGCATGACTTTCTCATAAACAAACTATGGAAATACAACCTAGATGGAGCTACCATAAGGTGGGTGCATAACTGGTTGGAAAACCATTCCCAGAGAGTTATGAGTGGTTCACAGTCAAGCTGGAAAGGCATATTGATTGGGGTCCCTCAGGGATCAGTTTTGGATCCAGTGCTGTTCAGTATTTTCCATCAATGATTTAGATAATGTCATAGAGAATACACTTACAAAGTTTGTGGACGATACCAGGCTGGGAGGGGTTGCAAGTGCTTTGGAGGATATGATTAAAATTCAAAATGATCTGGACAAACTGGAGAAATGGTCTGAAGTAAATAGGATGAAATTCAATAACGACAAATGCAAAGTACTCCACTTAGGTAGAAACAACTAGTTGTACACATTCAATATGGGAAATGACTGCCTAGGAGTAGGTACTGCAGAAAGGGATCTGGGGTCATAGTGAATCACAAGCTAAATATGAGTGAACAGGGTAACTGTAATGCAAAAAAAGCAAACATCATTCTGGGATACATTAGCAGGAGTGTCATAAGCAAGACAGGAGAAGTAATTCTTCTGCACTACTCCGTGACGATTAGGCCTCTGCTGGAGTATTGTGTCCAGTTCTGGGTGTCACATTTCAGGAAAGATGTGGTTAAACTGGAGAAAGTCCAGAGAAGAGCAACAAAAATGATTAAAGATCTGGAAAACATGACCTATGAGGGAAGATTGAAAACACTGGGTTTGTTTAGTCTGAAGACAAGACAGGGGACATAACGGTTTTCAAATACATAAAAGATTGTTAGAAGGAGGAGAGAGAAAAATTATTCTCCTTAACCTCTGAGGTTAGGACAAGAGGCAATGGGCTTAAACTGCAGCAAGGGTGGTTTAGGTTGAATATTAGGAAAAACCTCCTGTTAGAGCAGCTAAGCACTGGAATAAATTGCCAAAGGAGGTTGTGGACTCTCCATAATTGGAGATTTTTAAGAGCAGGTTAGAAAGAACCTGTCAGGGATTGTCTAGAATGATAATCCTTAGTCCTACCCTGAGTGCTGGAGACTGGACTAGATGACCCCTTGAGGTCCCTTCCAGCCCTATGATTCTATAGGCAAAGTAATCAGAATTCTTTTTTTACTAGCTTGAAATTAAGAATATCTTCTCCCACAGTTTTAAAAGAAACGTTTACCATTTCCACTTTATTTTCTAGAGGAGAGAGCTTCTATGTAACTATATGATTCTGAATTAGGCTGCTCAAATCTGTTTCATAACAGATGGATTCCTAACAAAGTAAATTCAGTCTTTGATTATCTCACAGTAAAGGCCTGATTCAGTAGCCATTAAAGTTAATGGGAGTCTTTCACTGATGATCCAGACACCAGATGATTGACAAAAACAGATATTTATATGCTGAATGCACTGCCTTAAGTGTAACGGTGACCAAGAGTTAAAATGGGGATGGTAATTTGAAATGTAAAGAATGTGCAGTAATCTAATTCCAAAGAACTTACAGTTTAAGGTCTCATATTCCCAAATTTCAGTTTGTTTGTGTGTTTTCACCACATCAAATGGCAAAGTTACTGTAGCTGCAATCTATTAAAGAGTAAACAGACTTTATTAATATTTCACGTAAAATGTGATAGCATCATCAAGCTTACGCCATAAAGTAAGTTGGTTATAATTTAAACATAGATTTACAATGGTCATATATATCACTTTATTTAACAAGTCCGTGAAGCAAGCCAAAATTAAATCTCATTAAATACACAAAATAGAATAGCTGCTTAGAAAACTGATTGTATACATTACTGACATGATATAAATTTATGCATAATGCACAAAGAGCCCAATCCCTCTCATAAAGACTTCCAATGGAAGCAGGGATGGGAACCAAAGTGGTTTCTTCTTTTGTACTGAACCGGACAGTTGTAAAAGTTTCCATTTTAGCATAAATGCCTGTCTGTTGTGCATTACTCAAGTGCCCTTCACAACCAACTTGGACAGTAGACCTCATAGTTGAGGTACACTTTCTCTGCTAACTAACATGTGGATTGCTAAACTAACATGTGGATTGCTTACTTAGGCCAGGTCTACACTACAAAGTTTTACACTACGAAGTCAGTCAGGAGTGTGATGAGACGGATCCTTGTCTGACGGAGCTGTGCCAGCAAGAGCCCTTAGTATAGAGGCAGTTAACATAACAAAACTGCACTTTTGCTGGTATAGCTTATTTTGTTCAGGGGAGCTGGAATAAGCTATAACAAAAAACACAGTATTGCAGCAGAAGGTGCATCCACACTAGGAGTGTTTTGCTCGAATAGTATACTGGCACAGCTATATTGGCAAAGTGCTCCTAATGTAGGCCTGTTCTTAAATTCTGGTATAAGCTCTGGAAGATGCTGTTTATCTGTATATATAGCTTGCAGCAATAACAAACACAAGAAAAGTAATAGGTCTTCTATTTGTGCAAGATACACAAACAGAAGGTTAAACCACAATATGACACTGTACCCCATATTCTTCATAGTGATATTATAATGGTATTATAGCATAATTATGATGCATTTTATGCAAGACGGGTCATGTGAGGTGTCATTGGAAAAGTTATGATTTGCTGAATAGGATTATCCTAATTGTATGCATGTATCATTTTTGTCTCTAAAGTTAGGAATATTGACTATGTATCCGTATTTCAAATCGTGCTTACTCTGGGTGACACCCACAGTTAGCTTTTCTGGTACAACAATGAAGAAGCCAGACAGTGCTGATGGCCCATCAGCAAAGGCAATGGACCCTGGAAGAACTTAACCTTCCTGTGAACATTCCAGACAGCCTGTAAGCAATGGCTGCTATGACTCTACATGTAACCAGGCCAAATGATTCTGGACTCCATCTTGTGAATGCTGGTGAAAGTGCAGGCTGGAGGGCTTTGCAGCTTGTCACAGCAGCACAGTGTGAGAGGGAGCCCAGGCTAGTGGGTCAGAGGGCTCAGTGGCACCCCAATTCCAGTATCTCCTTCTTCTAGATTCCTGGTGTTTCTTGTCATTTGTTTGTCTTTCAAGCCCTAATCCTGAAACTGGATCCACTAACTTCTATTCCAGTGCATCACCGGGGGATCTGGACTTTAGATTGTAAAACCTCAGGGAAAAAGTGACTATACTGAGGTGTGTGTGCTTTGTCCATGATCAAACACTTTCAATTTTGCTTTACAGTACTCTATACACTTCAGTTTATTTTGCAATTTCAACTATGAGGTCTCTCCACCAAAACAAAGTTTTGTACGTACCCACAGGTGGTTTGGTATTCCCTCACTTGATTATATATATTTAAAAGAGTTTTTAAACATTAGATAGCTACTAAAAAGTATTCATTTTAAAAATCCTGAACTGTTTTTCTTTTCGTTGAGTATGAACATACAGTACACATATATGCTACAGAAAATACTTCATGGCTATACTAATCACAATGCTGTGTTTATCATCTGTAAAAAAAATACTTGTGAAACAGAATTATTTTTAAAGTATGATTAAAACCCCAAGACAACAGTATTTTCACATGATTGCTGCTTACTGTAAATTGTCCAAATAAACTGAAGTCAACCATGTAACAATCAACTGAGTTTCCTGAGAGGTTGTGATTCCACCATCTCATTATGTTGATAATGATCTTGAAATGAAGTTGTGAGTTTAAAAACAAATTAGGTCTAATAGCCACATATCTTAAAAATGTAAACATGCAGGAAAGGATGAGAATACTTTGAATATCATTAACTCCCCCTCCCCGCCAGGCACACATCATGTTGTCTTTGTTAGAAAAAGTGAAAAGGCAGCATTTATACTATGTATATGTTAAAATAGATCTAAAAGCTATCAAGTATCTGAAAACAGCATATTCTAGCTTTGCTGTTGTGGTTATTTTGAGGCCTAACTGTTGCCCATATAGTGCTTCTTTTCAAACAAATCATTTTCACCAAGTTAACATGACTGAAGTAATGTGGAAATAATAGCCAGCTTTGGCAAAGTTCCAGCTAACTGTAGACTTCAGCTGTGATTGTTGCCTGAACTCTGCCAATACTTTATTTTATTTTTGTTAACTGCAGCTACAGGCTCCATGATTTATCAGGCTGCTAAAATTTGTAGTAACAGAACAAAAGTTTTAATAAGATTTCCAATCAAAACTACCTAGATATCTTTTACACTTGTATTTTACTTTAACATTTTATTACATATTTTCCAATTTGCTTCACTTACAAATAAAAGCAATAAGAATTCAAATGTTTTAATCATCAGATAACTGCATTTTATGTATAGCTAAAGATACGATTCTAGCCTTGTGTTCAACAACATATTCACAATTTGTGGGAGAATCTCATGTAATTTCACTCCTTGTGCTTTATTAATTACGTATACAAACTCCCAATGAATTGAACAGTTTATTTATTAGAAACATCCTAAATGAAGACATGTTAGCATGTGGTGTGATAGAGGATATGCCATTGAGCAGAGTTCTTTGGAGAGAGAGGACTCATAGAGAGAACCCCATCTGATGGGATTAAGTTTACTTAGAAATATCAGCAACAGAAACAGACTTACAGAGCCAGCTGCTGCCCCTGAAGTAAAGCTGATCATAAACGTTGGTTCATGTGCATCAAATGTCTTGCACAACTGCTTCTTCATGAGTTCATAGTGATACCAGTACATTGCTATGGAGATAGAAAAAAAAAAAAACCAAAACAAATCTCTGAAACCAGAAACTTGCAACAAGCAACATAAATCTGTGTACCAAACACAGAAGAACTAATTCATTCCCTTTCTGTATCTCTTACTCGTCTAAAAATGTTACTGTTTGCATGCTCTTACCCTCAGAATGCCAGAGCAAAGAAAGGGAAGAAAAATCCAAACAAAAACAAAAAAGGGGAGAGAGAGAGAGAAAGAAATACAGAAAAGGATGCAAATTTAAAAAGAGAAGGAGGGAGACAGAAGAGACTGGGAAAGAGAAAGAGAGAAGAGTACTGGCACAAATCAAAAGAAGGGTACGAAGGAAAGTGGTAGCACTCATATTTATGAAAGAACTGAATGAGTAGGATACACAACCAACAGCTGTGCTGTTTTTTTGTTTGTTTGTTTTTTTTAAAAGCAACAGATCAAGAGATTGAAAACAGTGTGTATTTACTTGAATGTGTACTATTAGTCATAAATGGCTGAATATGTATATACAGCTAGGTTTATTTCAATGTGCATAATTGCACACCCATACATACTTGTCACACATTATCTAGAGGAAACCATAATTCAATATACTGTTAAAATTAATAGAAAATTGCATACTTCACTTTCACCAAATGTGGTTGTAAAGTTTTATTTCTAAACCAAATTCCTACAAAGTACAAAGGCATTTGCACTTATTGAGAACTAAGTCTACAACAAATTTTCAATTTTAAAAATAATCCATTTTCTGTTAGAGTGAAAAAAAAATCTGAATATTTTGTAAAAGGCTGTACACATTCTGCTCTTCCTCACATCCATACTCATAATTCAAAACACAGCCAAAGGGATATTCACTATTACAAATCACTGGAGGATTCTCTGCTCCTTGAAGTCTTTAAACTACGATTTGAGGACTTCAATAGCACAGATATAGGTGTGAGGTTTTTTGCAGGAGTGGTGGGTAAAATTCTGTGGCCCGCATTGTGCAGGAGGTCAGACTAGATGATCATAATGGTCCCTTCTGACCTAAATATCTAAGAATCTATGAATCTATGAATTCTGAACGATAGTCTCAATAAAGGTGGTCTCTAAAGTGCCTATTATTCTGTGGGAAACAAAAAAATGTTGATGCTACTTGAACTTGAGGTTTACAGTGACACTGAGTTCATCTTGGAACTTTGCTACACAGATAACTAGACAATCTTTCAAATACTTTGGAAAGGCAGCCCAAGATTTCATCATAATAGTTCTAAAACTGTTTGAGGAAAACAGGTTTCCTTCAAGTGGGTCACAAGATTATTACGAGGGGGTCGTTATCTGTTGGCCTCCACCCCAAACCTCGCTTTGCCTCCAGCATTTATAATAGTGTTAAATATATTAAAAAGTGTTTTTAACCTATAAGTCGCACTCAGAGGCTTGCTGTGTGAAAGGTGTCATCAGTACAAAACTTTGAGAACCACTGAAGTAGATAAAGCAAATTAACACTAGCAGCTCAAAAATCACATATACACCTAACATCTGTGTTGATGGCAGGATTTCCTGTAGGGAATTTTCAAAAACCTATTTCAAACTTCCATGTCTATAGTTAAAAGGATGTGTTATATACAGTTCCAAGACCGATTAATTCTGAAAAATAAAATTAAAATTCTTCCATGCTTGCATGAGGTGATTTACTGGCTCTGAGGTATGCAAATTGAGCGTTGCAAGGAATAGAGAATGAATAACGAAACTATCTGTTGGTTTTGTGGTTTGAGAGTTTTATCCCTATGAAATGCGATAAAACAAGTTTCCTCAGCCCAGTAGAGAACAACAAGAAGTAGGGATGTGGGAGCAAAAGTGTATTCTGTGACCCTCTCTAGGCAACTTGGCATTTTCTTCCCCTTCTCTCCCTTAGCATATTGTAAATATTTTCATATGAAAAGTGCTCTGCACTAGGTAATCATTACTCTGTTCCAGTATAGCAATTCCCATGTAAATAAAAAGTAAGAACCTACAGATTATAAAATTAAGACATAACAGGATTTTTTTTAAAATTAATTTCCCTTCATGAATTAACTGAAAAAGATGGTTACATTTCTATGTATATTTTCAGTGTTATTTCCCATTCACATTTTATAAACAAAAACTTTTACAACACAGAGCAAAGGTTGTCCAGTGCTGCTTTGTGCTGTTCCATGATGCAGAGAGTGTGTTAAGCTTAACTTAACCCTCTGAAAAACAGGAAATACAAAATTAAGGTACATGCTACCCCTTCAACATGACCTTAACTCTTCCCCCTGAAGATGGCAAAATAGCCACTGGGAATGCTTCAGTTAGTTTAGGTTCCATAATAAAGAGACCTGAGAAACAACTACAATACTGTGCAATTGTTTTGTGTTCCACACGTTTCAACTGTAGCATTTTTTGCCTCCAATTCCAACTACCGTTCACTGAGTTGGGTGCAGCTGTAGTGAATGGAGGTGGGATAAACTGGAGCAGGCTGGCAGAATTGCTGCTGTGAATGATGAGAGGTGCATGTGTACCCTGAAAGATCAACTACGCCTGATTTCAGCACTAAATTCTGTAGCAGTAGAGGAACATAAAAGCATTTTCTTGTCATGGGGATTGTCATCTGTTTGGTGGCACATATGACAGTGGTCTTTAGGGGCTAGTGAGGAATCAGTGAAGGCAATGTCTCAGAAAAAAATCCGCAGGACAAGAGTGAAGGGGAACCAGAATGGAACCAGATTGCTGGCACTTAAAATTAAAAAGGTCGTAGAGCAGTTTTTAAACTAAGTGCTGCGGGAAAGCCGACAAGTGCGGAGGACCACATGTTTCGGACAGAGACATTCTTTAGGGGAGGATCTATTAATGCAGATTCTCTATGTTCCTGTAAGGAGGAGAGGATGGATAATGATAAAATACAGGTAGGATCTGATGAGAAACAGTCAAATGAAAAAAAGTCCCATTCAATTATATCATGTAATGGTAGACAGCTGAAAAGTTTTTAAAGTGCTTATATATCAATGCTAGAAGTCTAAATAAGAAGATGGGTGAACTAGAGGATATTGATATAACAGGCATCAAAGAAACTTTGTGGAATGAGGATAATGAAAGGGTCGCAGTAATACTAAAGTACAAAATATATCGGAAGGACAGAACAGGTCATGCTGGTGCGGGAGTGAAACTATATGTGAAAGAAAGAAGTAGAATCAAATGAAGTAAAAATCTTAAATGAACCAAACTGTACCACAGAATCTATATGGATAACAATTCCATGCTCTAATAATAAGAATATAGCAGTAGAGATATATTACCAACCACCTGACCAGGATGGCGATAGTGACTGTGAAATGCTCAGGGAGATTAGAGAGGCCATTAAAATAAAAAACTCAATAATATTGGGGGATTTCAACTATCCCCATATTGACTGGATACATGTTACCTCAGGACAGGATGCAGAGATAAAGTTTCTTGACATCTTAAATGACTGCTTCTTGGAGCAGCTAGTCCTGGAATCCACAAGGGGAGAGGCAATTCTTGATTTAGTCATAAGTGGAGCATAGGATCTGGTCCAAGGGGTGAATATAGCTGGACCGCTTGGTAATAGTGACCATAATATAATTGAATTTAACATCCCTGGAAAACACCACAGCAGCCCAACACTGTAGCATTTAGTTTCAGAAAGGGGGACTACACAAAAATGAGGAAGTTAGTTAAACAGAAATTAAAAGGTACAGCGCAAAAAGTGAAAACCCTGTAAGCTGCATGGAAACTTTTAAAGACACCATAATAGAAGCTCAACTTAAATGTATATCCCAAATTAAAAAACATAGTAAGAGAACCATAAAAGTGCCACCATGGCTAAACAACCAAGTTAAAGAAGCAGTGAGAGGCAAAAGGTATCCTTTAAAAAGTGGAAGTTAAATCCTAGTGAGGAAAATAGAAAGGAGCATAAAATCTGGTAAATGAAGTGTAAAAATATAGTTAGGAAGTCCAAAAAAGAATTTGAAGAACAACTAGCCAAAGACTCAAAAAATAGCAAAAAATTTTTTTTAAGTACATCAGAAGCTGGAAGCCTTCTAAACAACCAGTGAGGCCATTGGATGATCGAAGTGCTAAAGGAGCACTCAAGGACAATAAGGCCATTGCAGAGACACTAAATGAATTCTTTTCATCGGCCTTCACAGCTGAGGATCTGAGGGAGATTCCCAAACCTGAGCCATTCTTTTTAGGTGACAAATCTGAAAAACTGTCCCAGATTGAGATGTCCTTAGAGGAAGTTTTGGAACAAATTGATAAACTTAATAGTAATAACTCACCAGGACCAGATGGCATTGACCCGAGAGTTCTGAAGGAACTCAAATGTGAAATTGCAAAACTACTAACTGTATTCTGTAACCTATCATTTAAATTAGCTTCTGTATCAATGACTGGAGGACAGCTAATGTGACACCAATTTTTAAAAAGGGCTCCAAAGGTGATCCCAGCAATTACAGGCCGGTAAGCCTGACTTCAGTACTGGGTAAACTGGTTGAAACTACAGTAAAGAACAAAATTGTCAGACATATAGATGAACATAATTTGTTGGAGAAGAGTCAACATGTTTTTTGTAAAGTGAAATCATGCCTCATCAATCTACTAGAACTCTTTGAGGAGGTCAACAAGCATGTGGACGAGGGGGATCCAGTGGATATAGTGTACTTAGATTTTCAAAAAGCCTTTGACAAGGTCCCTCACCAAAGGCCTCCAAAAGGTAAGCTGTCATGGGACAACAGGGAAGGTCCTCTTATGGATTGGTAACTGGTTAAAAGATAGGAAACAAAGGATAGGAATAGATGGTCAGTTTTCAGAATGGAGAGAGATAAATAGTGGTGTCCTCCAGGCATCTGTACTAGGACCAGTCTTATTCAAAATATTCATAAATGATCTGGAAAAAGGGGTAAACAGTGAGGTGGCAAAATTTGCGGATGATAGAAAACTACTCAAATTAGTTAAGTCCAAAGCAGACTGTTAA